TATGGGGTCAGGTAGGGTTATGGGGTTGGATGGGGTTATGGGGTCGGGTAGGGTCGTATGGAGTTATGGGATTGGGTGGGGTTATGGGATTGGATGGGGTCGTATGGGGTTATGGGGTCGTATGGGGTTATGGGGTCGTATGGGACTGTATGAGGTTATGGGGTCGGATAGGGTTATGGGGTCAGATGGGGTTTGGGGTTATGGGGTCGTATGGGATTGTATGGGGTTATGGGGTCGGATGGGATCATACAGGATTGTATGGGGTTATGGGGTTGGGTGGGTTTATGGAGTTGTATGGGGGTTTTGGGGGTTGTTTGGGGTTATATGGGTTATATGGGTTATATGGCACAGATTTGGGGTGGAGGTCTCTATGAGTTTGGGGGCACAGATTTGGGGTCCCTATAGGGTCAACGAGGTCTCTATGGGGTCAGTGGGCACAGATTTGGGGTGGGGTCCCTATGGGGTTAGGGGGGTGTCTGTAAGGTCAAGATTCCTATGGGATCAAGGGAGTCTCTATGGGGTCAGTGGGCCACAGATTTGGGGTCAGGGTCCCTATGGGATCTGTATGGGGCATAGATTGGGGTGGGGTCCCTACGGGGTCGTGCAGGCAGAGATTTGGGGTCAGGGCTCCTTATAGGGTCAGGATTCCTATGGGGTTGAGAGGGCACAGATTTGGGTTCGGGGTCCCTGTGAGGTCGAAGAGGTCTCTATGGCGTCAGTGGGGCACTGGTTTGGGGTCAGGGCTTCCTATGGGGTCGGGGTCCCTATGGGTTTGGGGGGCACAGATTTGGGGTCTGTGGTCACAGATTTGGGGTTGAGGGAGTATCTATGGGGTCAGTGGAGCACACATTTGGGGTGGGGTTCCTATAGGGTTGGGGGAGGGGTCTATAGGGTCAATGGGGCACAGATTTGGGCTGGGGGTCTCTATGGGGTTGAGGGGGTCCCTATGGGGTCAGTGGGGCACCGATTTGGGATGGGGGTCTCTATGGGGTTGAGAGGGCACAGATTTGGGGTCAGGGTCCCTATGGGATCTGTATGAAGCACAGGTTGGGGTGGGGTCTCTATGGGGTTGGGGGGTATCTGTGGGGTTGAGGTCCCTATGGGGTCGGGGGGGTCTCTATGGGGTCAGTGGGGCACAGATTTGGGGTCAGGGCTCCCTATAGGGTCAGGATCCCTATGGGGCATCGCTGAGCTCTTCATTTCCTCCCCCCTCCCCCCTCTTATTCCCCCTTATAGCCACCTTGGACCCCCACGGCCCCCCCCCCTTGGAGGACCCCGACCGACGGCCGCTGTCACCCGAAGTGTCACCTGAAGGGTCACCCGTAGGGCCCCCCACCCTACAACCCACCCGGAAACGCCCCCGCCTCAATGTGACCCCCCCGGGGGTCCCCAAAACCGTTCCCAGTGTCACCTCCAAGTCCTCCAACAACACCGTAACCCCCCCAGCCTTGATCCCCGTGGAGGAATTCGTGGACGATGATTGGTTGGAGGACGACTTGGGGGGGGCACGGAAAAGGAGGAGGGGGAGGAGGGGGTGGTTGGACCCCCCCAGGGCGGGGGGAACAGTCAGACGACGGCGGTGTTATGGGAGGAGGGAGGGGGTGGGGATGGGGGGACTGGGAGGACCAACAGGCAGACTTGGAGGACCGGCAGAAGGACTTGGGGCACCAGCAGGAGGACTGGGAGAGACAGTGGGAGGACCGACAGGCGGACTAGGAGAGACAATGGGAGGAGCGGGAGGACCAACAGGCGGACTGGGAGGACCAGAAGAAGGACTGGGAGAGACAGTGGGAGGACTGAGAGGACCAGCAGGCGGACTTGGAGGACCAACAGGCAGACTTGGAGGACCAACAGGCGAACTTGGAGGACCAACGGGCGGACGAGGATGGGAGAGCCCTGAAAGCAGTGATGGGAGCAATGGAAGGGGAGGGGAAGAGAAGGTATGGATTGGGGGAGGGAGTGGGATTGGGGTTGGGATTGGGATTAAGGTGGGATTGGGATTGCCGTGGGATTGGGATGGGGATAGGATTGAGACTGGGATTGGGATTGGATTGGATTGGGATTGGGATTGGGGTTGGGGTTGGGATTGGGATGAAGACGGGATTGGGATTGGATTGGATTGGATTGGGATGGGATTGGAATTATGGTAGGATTGGGTTTGGGTAGGGATTGGGGTGGGATTAGGATTGGGATTGGGATGGAGATGGGATTGGGATGGGATTGGGGATGGGGATGGGATTGGGATTGGGGTGGAGATGGGATTGGGATTGGGGGGGATTTGGAT